CTCTCTTTATCTATCTATCTATCTATCTATCTATCTATCTATCTATCTATCTATCTATCTATCTATCTATCTATCTAACTATCTATCATCTATCTATCATCTCTCTCTCTCAGATTCAGTGTCCCTAAACAGCATAAGAATGAAATATATAGATAATTCTCTCCTTTTTTCAGTTTCCATTCATTGTTTCTTGTCCTGCCTTCAACTGCTTTAGAGATTATGTTGACCCCCTCCTCTTTATGGAGCCCCTCAAATATTGGAACACTGTCACTGTCATGTCACCCCTAGTCCTTCTTTTCTCTAGGCTAGCCATATCCAATTCCTGCAACCGTACTTCACACATTTTTGTTTCCAAGCCTTTAATCACCTTAGTTGCTCTTCTCTGCATTTTTTCCAAAATCTCAACATCTTTTTTTTTTTTTTTGCATTTTGTCTCAACATCTTATCTATTTATATTTTCCTTTTCCACTTTCTTGAAATACTATCAGTTTCCTTTTGTTGACAAGGGAATGTTCTTCTAAAAATACATATATTTAGTTTAGGGAGACAACTTTATATATATTTTTTGTCCAGGATGTGGTGAAAGCTGCCTCGTTCCCAACTTAGAGCCAATGATGATTGAACGAAGGTCAAAATAACTATTTTTTCCACTTACTAGTTCTTGAAAGAAACAAGATTCATGGTTTCAAATATTAAATTAGAGAGAATGAAAGCAAGACCTTATAAACAATTTATAAAGGCAATTGAGAGAAATAAGTTGTGATAAGCTTCTCCTGCTTTGAAGTGTCTTCTAATCATTGACCTTCTTTCTTTGCTTGACTTAAAAGTGGCAATATATACATGCATGCGTGCGTGCATGCATGCATGCATGCATGCATACATACATACATACATACATACATATATACATTTTCTCCCACCCCCAAAAGATCAGATTTTAATTTCCTGCTCAAGCAGGAAACCCTATACCATTCTGGACAAGTAGTTGTCCAGTGTTTTCTTAAAAACCTCCAATGATGGAGCACCCATAACTTCTGGAGGCAAGTTGTTCCACTGATTAATTGTTTTCACTGTCAGGAAACTTCTTAGTTCTACGTTGCTTCTCTTTTTGATAAATTTCCATCCATTACTTCCTGTCCTTCCTTCAGGTGGCTTTGGAGAATAGGTTGACCCCCTCTTCTTTGTGACAATCTTTGGTCTAATCCCTCTATGGTGGACTGAGCTGTCAGCTTCTGCCTTTGGATAAAATGTATTAATTGAAAAAGGTTGCTTCTGACACTTTGATCATTTCAAAAAGAGCTTTCAGAATAGAAAACGGTCTGCAGCCTCTAGTTGTAAGGTCCTACGTGAAGCTCATCCAAAGTTCAAAAGGCCGTGGGAAGTCATTAGTTTAAACTTCTAGGAAGAGGACTCAAGCTTGACCTGATGTTTGTGTTGAAGGAAAGAGTGGCTGAAAGGGATGGTAATAAAAAGAGACAGGGAAGAGAATGAATGGTTAAGATCCAATTTATACACCTTGTCCTCAAGCACATTCACCAGTGACAGGCAACTCCTGTTATTCCTAAGACAATGAAGCTCTTGAAGATGATGAAAAGGTTTCTAATGTCTCTTTTTATTTAATTATTTATTTTGTCAAGCATGTATAGGAGAACAGATATAAGTATAAACATGATTATGAATACAGGAAATGGATATAAATATGTGGGGACAGTAGGCATGTTGGTGCGCTTATGCATGCCCCTCCCCCTTTACAGACCTCTTAGGAATGGGGTGAGGTCAACAGTAGACAGTTTAAGGTTAAAGTTTTGGGGGTTTGGGGAAGTCAGATAGAGCATTCCAGGCATTGACCACTCTGTTGCTGAAGTCCTATTTTCTGCAATTGAGTTTGGAGCGGTTTACCTTAAGTTTGTATCTATTGTGTGCTTGTGTGTTGTTTCAGTTGAAGCTGAAGTAGTCATTGACAGGTAGGACCTTGTAGCAAATAATTTTGTGTACTACGCTCATGTCAGACCAAAAGCGGTATAGTTCTAAATTGTCTTAAGCCCAAAATTTCAAGCCTGGTAGTGTAAGGTATTCTGCTGTGAGCAGAGGAGTGGAGGACTCTTCTCTTGGAATATCTCTGGACTTGCTCAATTGCAATAATGTCTGATATGCAGTGCGGGTTCCAGACAGATGAGCTGTATTCGAGAATAGGTCTAGCCAAGGTTTTATATACCCTAGTTTGCAGTATAATATTACTGGAGAAAAAACTTTGCAAGATTAGGTTGACAACTCTTCATGCCTTTTTGGCAATGCTGTTACAGGGAGCTCTGGCACTTAGATCGTTAGAAATGAGTACTCCAAGGTCCATGACAGAGTGAGGGTTTATGGGGATGGGAGCAAGCTAGCCTATTGACGATGGCATAAAGTAGTATTGTGGGTCTCCAGTCTGTAGAAAGTTCTCTTGTGCTCTAAGTAGATGGCCCTGTCATTTGGAAGGTCGGTGATGGCGAACCTTTTCAGCACTGAGTGCCGAAAAGGGTGTGTGTTCCCTCCCCGGAAGAGAAGTTGCCAAGTGGGTTACTGGTTACTGGCAAGCATGCACGCGCAATGATCAGCTAGCCGACACGCAAGCGCACCACAGAAATCAGAAGACCAGCTCTTTCAGTTTCCTGGACTGCTGCATGCACAAAAAAACGATTGATTGCTGTGCGCAATGCATGCCAGAAACCCAGAAGAGGAATGGGTGTCACCACGCATGCCAGCCAATATGGCTCCGTGTGCCACTTCAGGCATGCATGCCATAGGTTTGCCATCATGGGTCTAGGTCATCCTTCCTCAGCCTGTTTTAAAGCTTCCATATGTTCTGAGATTGCTCTTCCCAGAAGTCCAACTAATTTACTCATTTGTTTATATCCAACTTAAGAGGGTGGGAGTTCCAGATAATCCAACAAGTGATAGTTTTGGAACACCAACTCCATTTTTCTTCTAGGGGTTTTCCACTTCCACACCTATTAGGGTGCCTGGATTGAGCTATTTCTTCCATGCACAATTTCTGGTTAACTCTAAATAAATTAGCTCCAAAGGATTTACAACCTTTGGGAATTGCCATTGTATCATTTCTGGGAGACAACTGAAATAGCTTACCCTTCACTATTTTTATCCTCATGACTGGTGTGGAATCAAGAATTGATTTCCTTCCTAGTAAGAATAACATTAGCCTGTGAGGGTTTTTTTGTTGTTTTGTTTTGACTTTTCCACGTTGGGCGAGATTAGTAATGCAATCTGTTTTGATGGGGATCTGTTCTAGGTGTCTGCCAGAGGCAATCTTGGCATGCAATCGAAATCAGCACATTTCCAGAAAATAACTGCCCTTTTGCTCTCTCTCTTTTCACCCCATTGTTCTTTTAGGAGTTGGTGAGAGGCGTACAAGTAGGAGCATTATATAAGGCTGTCAGCTTAATAATGGATCTGGAGAAATTGACTGTCTGGGGATCGCTGAAACAAAGGACGAAGCCTTTGTTACAAAACCTGAACGTCAGAAGGACTAAAAAAAGCTCCACCAGATTCACCGAGAGGAGACAGATTCATCCTTTAGATCGCCGACTTAGCTCCTCGGAGCCCGACGTGCTGAACATAGATGGAAAGCTAGAAGAAGAGACCCACTACTCCAGGGCCAAGGCCATGTCCACCTACTTCCCAAGTGGCTTTTCCGCCACCGAGATATTTCTTGAAACCAGTAGTAACTCTTCCACCAGGCAGACGGAGGAAGAATGGCAGTGGCGGAAGGAGGAGACCGTCCGCTTGGAAATTGGGGTTCAGGAAACCGAAGGGTTGGTGGTTTGTGGGCCAGATTTGGAAGAGAGGCGGAAATCCAGCGAAGATTTTTTTGATCTGCTGCAAAGGGATACTTTCAACAATGACCTTACAGAAGACCCCCTTGAGGTAATGTGCTTTGGGGGTGGGGGTGGGGGACAATTAAATCTGACATAAGTTTGTTTCCAGCATGTTTCCTAAGACTTGGGCAATTTTTTAAAAAATAGGGCAAATAAAAACGAATCTCTTGTGGTGACGGGGCGGGAGGGAAGCTTAAATGCACCAAAAGGTTTATATCACTGGGGAATTGATGTAGTTCTAATCAATATAGATCTAATGTAGATCAGATGTAGATATAGCACAGGGGTGGGTTGCTGCTGGCGTTACTGGCAGTTCGCAACCTGTGCGCCAGACGCATGTTGCGCGCCCATGCACTGTTCAATGTAAACTGTGCTTTGCGCATGTGCAGAACAATTTACAGTGAACTGTGCATGCNCTGGCTCTTTGGCTTTGAAATGGAGCTGAGCACCACCCCCTAGAGTCGGGAATGACTAGCACGTAAGTGCAAGGGGAGCCTTTACCTTTTAACCAAACTAAATTTTAAAAGATGCATGGAAAGGTGGATAAGATTGTCTGCCTTGTATGGCCAACCTTTAGCCTGGTTTTTAAGATCCAGCATTTTGTTCTCTTGATTGCATCTAAGTAAACCTGTTATCAAATTTGTTCACCTTCTAATCTTCATCCTTTGTTGGCAGGACTTCTGTTTCTAGATCTTTCGTCTTACATCCAGAGGAATCAAAAAGAGCTGAGCATAGAATTGTAGATTGAAGATTAAAGGCCCATATCAAATCTTATTACCTGGAGAGAAAGAGAGATAATAAATCTTCCATCTTGCTCTGTTCAGGGAAAAAAAAAAGAGAGAGTGAGTTTTCCCACACATACATCTTATTCTTTTTAAGTTAGGGAAGGTTGCAACAGAAGAAGGAGATTTGGGTCCTTGCTAAAACTATTCAAAATTAAAATAAATCCTTGACTGCTCCATTTTGCTATTTTTGGTGAACGGAAGACAATTTCTTCATTCTCCGTAGCCTTATAATCACTGCTTTCAACTTTTCAAATTCCCCCCCTTTTTAAAAAAAATAGCTCTCATTGTTCTTCAGCATAATTGTGACATTATATATTTTTCAACCGTTTTAACTTATTGTGTGCTGTCTTAAGAAGGAACAGATATGATTATGCATACTAAAATGTGTTTACCCCATATTAACCTGATAATTTTGTTATTGCAGATACCAGATTTGGTGTCTCTGTAATTTAATAACAGAACTATGATCTTCATTGGATTGGTTATCTGGCTGTCTTTTGCTGTCACAGGGAACAGGGCTGGTTCATTTAATTTGCAAATGAAGTAGTGTAGTTACATTTTGCCACGTATATCTTGAAAACCTCAATCTTTCTTTGTAATTTTGCTCAAGGATGCCGAGCACTGATAGCTGTATATTCTAAGAAGATTCAACATGATTGCTTCATGCTGAACGGTGCAGACAAGTGTGATTAAAAAGATCAGATTTCTTGTAAATAGAACAGAAATAGTTATCATTAAAAACAAACAAATGAAGAAGCATTTTTTGGGAAGCAAAAGCAAAGCTTGACGTTTTTTCACCTTAACATTTTCGTTTTTTCACGATTGCTATTTGTTTTCAATTATATTTTTGTTGGATATTTATAAGACTCTAGCTTGTTTAGCTTTAATGACGCTCTATAGGGCAATTCTATGCATGCCTGTTCCATTGCTGGGATTCAAAAGTTTTTCCTATTGGTTCTGTGGAACTGGCTTGGTGGGCGTGGCAGGGGAAGGATACTGTAAAATCCCCATTTCCTCACGATCAGCTGGGACTCGGGAGGCAGAGAATAGATGGGGGTGGGGCCAATCAGAGGTTGTATTTACTGGTTCTCCGAACTACACAAAATTTACGCTACCGGTTCTCCAGAACTGGTCACAACCTGCTGAATACTACCTCTGGTCTGTTCAGAAGGTTTGCTTCAGGGAAATAACGAGTCTGGCACCTCTATAACTGTCTGGTTTGGTTCTGCAACCCAACAAGACATTCACAGACTTCAGAGGATAATTAGAACTGCAGAAAATACAACTACTACTAACCTGCCTTCCATTGAAGACCGGTATGCTGCACGAGTCAAAAAGAGGGCTGTGAAAATATTTACTGCCTCCCCACATCCT